AAATATTTTTATATGTATTTTTTCTATAAAAATTATCATAATCATTTCACATCAATTCATCGCAAAAACAGAGTATCTCGCAGTCATTACCTGCCTTGGCTTTTTCTGCAGTATAGCAAATAAAAAATGCAGACCGCAAAAAATAGGAATAAAGCAAAATGATTTATTAATTAAGCAGCTCGTAAGAAATCAGCGTGTAATGAGCGATAATGATTTGATTACTCTGACGGCAAAAAGGGTAGAAAAATGAAAAGAAAAGCGATTGATGCAATTAGATAAACGGAAGATAAAAAGAGAGAGAGAGAGTGGAAAGCGAGGGAGACAGATGAGAGACAAGTGAAGCGCAGCACACTTAATATGAAGATTATAGCAAAAGTCAACTAATTAAGAGTTAGCATTGCGCATACGCCCGGTGCACAGGTAAACTGAGCAAATAAGTGGCAAAGGCTTTGGCGAAAGCAAAGATCTAGGAGCTAGCCGGGGCTTAGACACATCATTACCAAGGCAAATGGAGAACCGGGTCATGACTATCAAAAGCACTTGAAATGATGCGCTGCGACGCCATAGAGCAGCAGCATCAGCAGGAGCATCATTACCAAGCACTCGAAGAGCTGAGTCGAGTAGCTAAGCCCAAATCAGCTGAGGCTAAAGTGTGATAGAGAAACAGACAGAGACAGAGACAGAGAGAGAGGGAGAGGGATAAAAAAGATGTAGAGGGAGGAAGAAGTGAAAGCCAGCACCTGATATCTGGAATGTATTTCTCTTCTCTTTTTCATCCTTTTTGGGGGCTTGGCATAGCCAGGAAATAGAATCAAATTGAGGTGTAAATGCGAGCAACAAGAAAACGAGCGCTGACGACACAAGAAACGTGCATGAACTAAATAAAATGGCCAAAATGAAAATGGGAGTAAGCAGCGTGGTGCAGGGGCACCAGCGAAAGGAGTGCGGGGCTCGACAGGTAGCAAAAAGCGTGGAGCAACTCGGTTTAGCTGATGGCATGTTTAAGTAGCTGTGTCTGTGGCCCAAACCCAGCTCAACAGCTCTGACAGCAAGCGTCTCGCTTACATCTATTGCCAGCGTGTAATTCATAGCTATCACACACACACACACACGCACACACATGAACATACAGACGCACCGCAACGCACATGAAACCAGCCAAGTTTATTTTTATATGCGACACTATGATGCAATTTTCTCGCTTCCGCTTTTCCTTTTACACTTTTTCAACTCGTGCTGCTGAGCTGTGAAATTGCAGTCATGTAGTACGTGTGCGGCCAGAAGTAGGAGTTAACCCTTATATATATACCAAATATACATATACATATATAGTTGACGTTAGATGTTATTAAATAGTTTTTAAAGGGGTGAGCGCAAAAACCAGCCACTAAATGTGCATTTATGCACAGGTATGCAGAAATTTGCTTCGACACTTCGTTAAGTGAGATTCTTAAGCAGCCATTGGAGTGGCCGAGCAGCCTGAGTGCAGCACTTGCACTTGAAATTGGTTTCCTACATTAATGTCAAAGACGTGGCTCGCTTCTGGTGCTAAAGGCTGCATAGCAACGAGCTAAGCAGCCATTGAAAAGTGCATAAAAAGAGTCAAATATATTGGGAATATAACAGGTCGTACAATGTGTGGCAGAAGAGACGAGAGATTAGAATTACATCATCATTGCAGAGTCCATTTGGCACACTATCTCTCAATAGTTCAGTATGTCAATACTTTCTACACAGTTTCCTAAAGGTTGAAACCCTTATACGAGAGCTCTAAAATTCATATCTGAATTTACCAAACATATAACATTGCCTATTCATATTCATATTCATATTCATATTCATATTCATATTCATATTCATATTCATATTCATATTCATATTCATATTCATATTCATATTTATATTCATATTCTGTACTCACCTTATATGAGCCAAGATTTTTAACCGAGCAACCCAGTTTGACATTACGTCCAGCAGGTACAGTTACATTTTCGATGTATTCGGTAAATTCGGGTTCTTCAACAACAGCTGCAATAAATAATAAAAAAGAAGATAAATACAATTCATTCAGTATTATTTAGTAATATGATGATTGTTTCATTATTTATTCACTGTAGTTTATAAATTATGCACGATTTTATTATGCCTGCGATTAGAATTAAAATGCCAAAAAATTTTACATAAATGCATACATAAATTAGCATAAGCGAAAATTCAATGCTATTGCATCAGATTAATTGTAAAAAAAAAAAATACAATCAAATTTTATTGAAACGAAACTGCAAACAACAACAGCAAAAACAAAAAACAAACACAATGTAGCTTTATTTGTCTGAAATATCNTGTTCATATTCATATTCATATTCATATTCATATTCATATTCATATTCATATTCATATTCATATTCATATTCATATTCATATTCATATTCATATTCATATTCATATTCATATTCATATTCATATTCATATTCATATTCATATTCATATTCATATTCATATTCATATTTATATTCATATTCTGTACTCACCTTATATGAGCCAAGATTTTTAACCGAGCAACCCAGTTTGACATTACGTCCAGCAGGTACAGTTACATTTTCGATGTATTCGGTAAATTCGGGTTCTTCAACAACAGCTGCAATAAATAATAAAAAAGAAGATAAATACAATTCATTCAGTATTATTTAGTAATATGATGATTGTTTCATTATTTATTCACTGTAGTTTATAAATTATGCACGATTTTATTATGCCTGCGATTAGAATTAAAATGCCAAAAAATTTTACATAAATGCATACATAAATTAGCATAAGCGAAAATTCAATGCTATTGCATCAGATTAATTGTAAAAAAAAAAAATACAATCAAATTTTATTGAAACGAAACTGCAAACAACAACAGCAAAAACAAAAAACAAACACAATGTAGCTTTATTTGTCTGAAATATCAACAAGTTAAAAATGTTCACACGTCGATTTTTTTATTTTGTGCATTTTCAAATTAAGTTTTCATTTTGCGTTTTCCTCACCGCTCACATTAAATTTTTAATTTCTTCTCGCGCTTTATATACTCATTCACGAAAACGAAATGAATATATTGGTTTCAGGCAATGTCAGGTGAACATATTAAAATTAGAACAGAAACTGTCGTAGTTGTTGTTTATATATTCTATTCAAAATATATATACCGATTAAGGGCGTAACAAATCGGAAAATGAAGATGATAGCGTTTGGGCCATGAATGAGTATTATTCAGTCGGTAACTCTCTAAAAAGATCTCACTGTTTTTTTTTAACGCATTAAATGACGGCTTGCAAAAACCTTGTCAGAAATGCTTTTAAATTTAACAGCCATTAACAATAAAATGGGAAAAGTTGACCCAGCCAAGCCGCAGCATCAATACACTTGAAAATACAAAATTATAAGAAAATAAATAATA